AAGAAGTGTACACATAAGGAATTCTTTCAATATAATTGTTTCAGTTCTCATATGTAGCCCAAGTGGGAGATTGTTAGGTTTTAATCTCTATTAAGTGGGCTTACATATTCAGTGAAACAATTGCATTGATGGGCTATCTTGTAAGTGGGCTAAATTAAGTGATTCATTTAAGCAAAGCCCGTAGACTTCAACAAAAGGGTATGGGGCTTAATGAGTGGATACCACATTTTGGCCCATATAGGCTTAATGGGATGGGATCCTATTAGGTCAAAATATAAAGGCTCCTAGGTTATGGTTCCCAATATATTAAATCATCTAGCCGCCCTCTTTCTTTACCCCATTAGAGTCAAAGAGCTGAGAAAACTTAAGGAAGAAGGGAGATTTAACTGAGGAAAACCACATCAGTCGACCAACCATTGATTCATCACTCATTCCGCAAGGGTTTCCACTACTGCGATGGATACAGGTATGTACGTTTAAACCTCCTTGACAACKGCAGCATGATATTCTTTGGGGTGCAACATGGCTTCTTGTTCTTCGTACATGAATGGTATTGGTATAATTCTGCAAGTTTAGGATTGCTTGCTCCCCCTTTATTTATTATTACAGAGACCCCTTTGTTACTGCCCACCTCAGTATTCCATGGAGGATCCAAATAACAGATTCAGCAGTTGTGTTCGAGATCATATACAGAGCTGCAACAGAAATGAACCGGGATACTGGGAAGATGCTTATGGGTTTTGGGAGTTGGTGAATACTGACTGGCCCCAATCTGACTATGAAAGGATTGAACCTTTTACTGAAGATGAATGTCGAAATAGCTGCTTGGATGATTGTCAGTGTGCAGTTGCCATTCTCAGAAACCAATCCTGCTGGAAGAAGAGGCTGCCACTTTCAAATGGAAGAATAAGCAGCACTCTCAACAGCAGAGCTTTTCTCAAAGTAAGAATAGGCAGTCGTCCTGCAAAGAAAGATGAGAAAGAAAAGACTGTGATCATCATACTGTCACTGCTTTTAGGTAGCTCTGTGTTTGTTAACTTCCTGTCGATTGGTGTGCCTAGACTGTTTGTTTTCATAACTCACCCGAACAAACTGAAAAAGGCGAAAAAGGTTAAATCAGAAAGAGGGGTTGCAGCAGCAACCCTGTGTTCTTTTACTTACAAAGACCTCGAAAAACCTTCGAGTGAATTCAAGGAAGAGCTGGGCAGGGGACCCTTTGGAATTGTCTACAAAGGGGTGCTGCAATTAGGTGGTAGAAAATTGGTTGCGATAAAGAGACTAGACAGAGTGGCTCAAGAGCGCGAGAAAGAGTTCAAAACTGAATTGGGCATCATTGGCCAGACCCACCACAAGAATCTAGTCCAATTGCTGGGATTCTGCGATGAGGGGCAGCATCGGCTTCTTGTGCATGAGTTCATGAGCAATGGCACTCTAGCAAGCTTCCTTTTCCAAGCTCCAAAGCCTGTTTGGAACCAAAGAACCCAGATAGCATTGGGCATTGCAAGAGGACTGCTGTACTTGCATGAAGAGTGCAGCACCCAGATCATCCATTGTGATGTAAAGCCTCAAAACATACTTTTGGATGATTGTTTTACGGCAAAGATTTCAGATTTTGGATTGGCAAAGCTTGTGACGAGTGATCAGAGTCGAACCCAAACAGTCATTAGGGGAACCAAAGGGTATGTGGCACCAGAATGGTTCAGGAGCATGCCAGTCACCTCGAAGGTGGATGTATATAGTTTTGGGATCTTGTTGCTGGAGATCATCTGTTGTAGGAAGAATGTTCCAGTGGAAATACAGGGAGACAATTATGGGGAGATTCTAACAGATTTGGCTTACGATTGCTATTGTCAAGGAAGGTTAGATGATCTGCTTTAGAACGACATGGAGGCAATGAATGACATGAGTACACTGGAGAGGTTCCTGAGGGTGGCAATCTGGTGTATACAGGAAGAGCCATCTCAAAGGCCAACAATGAGGAAGGTCACACGGATGTTAGAAGGAGTTGTTCAAGTCGCGGTGCCTCCATGCCCTTATCTCTTAGGCTCAGTTGTTCAAAGTTAAGGCCGTGCTGTATTTCTGACTTTCACAGTAAATTAAATGACTCTTTACTTCCTTTTTTGCTTTGCAGAGACCAGAATTTAGATTTGTTTGAAGTTCATGGTTCATACGATTCACTCGAAACCGACAAAACGAATGGCTACAAACAAATATACGGAAATGGGTAAAATGCCAGAAAGGTGTGCTGTAGGCTGCGCTGCACAGACATACCGCCATTTATGCAACTATGACTATCCATCCATATTCCAAATTGAAGAAGGATGAGGGAGGTGGTGAGACTTGACTTTCTGAAAGACGGAGAGTACAAAGAAATAAAAGCTTAAACAGAAAGCAGATCCACCCTCCATCTCGGACAATAAATTCCAAACATCCCCACACCCACCAATAACAAAAGCGAAAGAGGACTATTCTGTATTCTCTGATTTGTTTTGTTCTTTTCTTCCTCTTTCGATGCAGGTTTCCAAGGTGTTGCTAACAGTCAATATCTCTGTTAATCTGGAGATGTATTCATCACGTTTCTCCCAATTTATATAAATCATTAGAATTAGAATATATTAATATATTTTTGTAGGATTTATTCCAGTTTTGTGATGCATAAATTTTTGTACCATTTTCATACATAAGAATTGCACTTTCAATACCTTGAACCTTACGAGATACAGGAGATCTGGAGATGGTTATAGATGTTTTGCGATTTTAACGCCCTACGAGTATGGATAAGATATGATATTAGATTAAATCCAACCCTATATATGGCTTATGTGCTTCCATATTTTAATTGATATTTAAAGTAAATTACATACAGGTGTTCTGGACCCAATCCATCAATCCATCAAAACCCGACTTGTCCCACCCTCAGATGCAGGGTCAATAGGGTCAGAGAGGAACAAGAGTTTGGATTCTAAAAGCCCAACTCCCCGTTGCCATCCGTACCAAACAGCCAAAATTTTCCCTATATGCAATTCTGTTTTCCTGGGCGAAAGTAACCAAGCATACATCCATACACGAGATGATGTAAAATCTAAGATTTATTAATTGAAATAACATTTTCATTACAAGAGACCAGCAGTCCTCCTAAGAGACCATTGCTGCCTGCAGGTTTACAAGTTACAATGCTTCTCCACGCTCAAGAGGGTCCCCCTACAGTTCTTGGCATGAGTGGCACCTCTAGTCTGGGCATTGCAAGAAAGAAAAGGTTGAAGGGGGGAAAGAAAAGAACAGAAAAAGAAATATACAGTCATGACCCTGTCCAATGACAAGTAGTAAAGTTGATCCAGCTATATGTGCCTTCTTCATGTGTTTCTGCCAGTAGCCTTTGCCATAGACGTAAGGTTCAACCTTCAAAAGACAAATAAGAACCCAACAAGACTGATGATTAGTTTATTTTCCAATTTCTACCCAGGACAATGAAAGATGAAATTGATAAATTCACAACTGAAAGCTAATTAATTAATTCATTTGATTTTGACCACAGTACCTGATAAGTGGTTTTCGCTGTGGAATGGACGTAGATGCGGGCACCAAATTTGAGAAGGGAGTGGTCAACTCAGCAGGCTTTGGACAACACGAAGAAAAATGTTGAGAATCAACACTATTTTTGCTTCAAAAAATATATTACATGCACACACGCAAAATATTCATTCAGGCATAAAATGCATCTGGAATTTGGAAATCGAAGGAAACAACACAAGTATGAAACTATTGAGAAGCATTAAAATATTCAAGACGCGAAATCTCTAGAATCTTTGTAAACCAACAAAACAGAGTCCAAGAATCCAAGAGCAGCTTCTAAGGGGTGGCTGTCTTGAATCAATCCACACCCACCACAAAAGGGCAGAATTTATCAAGAGACTTCTACATGCAATTACAACATTGCCCTCCAGGCAAAAAAATATAATAACAGAAAGATACTATGTTACAAAACTACCTTTTTTAATTTTTGGTATTAATGTTACAGCTTTATCGGATCATTGGTATTACAGGATCATATTAATATTACAGAACTGCCTTTTTATTTTTCACAAAGAATGCTTTACAATTTCTCAAAATCATCTTTCAAAATATGTAGGAAATTTTATGTACTATTATTTACAGCAGCCCCTCTTTCTTTGACTCTAAACATCCAATTAATGCATATAACCAAACATATATTACATCAGAAAGCTACACCAATACCCACACACAAGATCCAAGCAAGCATCAAATCAAGGCAAGTTGACTACTAAAAGTAATTCTAAATATGATAATGGAAAGCAAGAAAACAGAGAAACGACATTAAGTTAGAAATTTAGAAGGAAAAGAATCACAGGGTTAGCAAAGACAACCTCAAGCTCCTCCAAGCCTCCTCCATGCTGGAGGAATTCAGTTGGTGGATGTACTCCATTTACCTCTACGGTTCCTGCCTTTGCTACCAAAACCTTGGAAGGCATGTCCCTCCCAAAACCTTTGACATGATAACTGGAATTAAAATCATCTTCGAGCTCATCAAGCTCTTCTGGAAAACCCCCGTGACCACCAACAGATGGACCAGATGCAATCTTCTCAATTGCAAGCTTCTCCGCCTCTTTGGTGCATGACAAACCAGAATTAGCAGAGGGTGGTCCAACAGATTGGCTGCATCTAGCAGGTTCCTCAGCTTCTCTACCAATATCAGTAGTAATCTCAGTGGGACATGTAGCATTTATTGAGCTGCCCCGTAAATTATCTTCTTGTTGTCCACCTTCTCTTGCCTCCTCTCTGACAGAGGTCCTGACAATTGGTGGGCTACCACTTCCAGATCCGCCAAGTACTCCATAGGCAGTATTAGTTGCAGCCAAAAATTTGGTACTTCTTGGATTGTTTTCACCATTATCATCGCTCAATTTTCTCTTTCTTATATCATCTGTTCCATCCATGGAACCTGTTGCAATTTCACATGACTCCTCAGCTGAAATAGAGTTGCAAAGCTTCGGATTTGAAGCTGACTTACCTTCCCACGCTTCTTTAGCAGAGCGGGAAGGCCGAACTCCATCAGGAAAGACAAAGAGAGGAATATTCCTACGCTTTATATGAGAAACATAAATCTCCATTCCAGGCTTCCATAAAGTGTATAAACCAACAGAATGCTTAAAGTCCTCCACAGTTGCCCTTATATCAAATTGTTTCCCTTCTTGCATGGAAACACCTTGTTTTAGTCGCAGACCCATGAAGTAACAACAGTGGAATAGTCTGGATTTGTCTGAGAAGTCACCAGGATGTGGATGGCATTGAAGCATGCCAAACGTGTGCCTCTCGATCTGGTTAAACACAAACATCCAAGGTCACAAACAAACAATCTACAAATGAAATTTGTTGACCAAACATACAAGTAATCGTGAGAAGAATTAATAMCTACCTTCAGTGTAAGTTGGCGAAGTCGAGATTCAACCCAACCTTTCCACTTCCTCAAGTGATCATCATTCTCTGCACTGATCTCAATTTGTAGATAATTTTTGTATGCTTCAAAGAAACGACAAGGCTCAAAGAGAGTATTCCAGTCAGCCTTGTTTTTCTCCATTGCCTGCAGGTATTAACCCACATCAAGTCAGAAGAAATTGAATCTAACAGTTTGAGTATTTTCTCCACATAAATATGTCATACTCCATCCCATCCCACCACTCTTCTCAGACTTGACAGCACCCTATCATGTTTGACATGGCTTCATATACAGGCCCCTATATCAGCCACATATAACTAGGCAGCCCTACTAAATAGGCCTTACCACAATTGTACGATTTCAGTAACCCACTTTATGGATATGTACCACAGTCTGCTATTACTACAAATTACAGAACAGCAGTGGGATAACAATCAAAAAGGAACTATGAAATAATATGAATAAAACATTGGACATGAACAATTTGTAAATCTCTCATTTGTAAGAGGGATAGAGCAAATACAAGCAATATAACTTTTAACAGAAGAATTAATCCCAGATGGAGAGAGAGAGAGAGAGAGAGAAGAAAGAAGGGAGATCCAGCATGCCCAGAAGCCTCTGAAAGGCCATTACCCAATGTTGGTCCCAGCTATCTGGGGTCTTGGGAGGGGTGGACTGGATATGGACACAACCTTTGGCAGTTTTATGCACAAAGTGACCACTCAGAAACTCTGTATTCAAATATTATTTATGAAAAACAACAACAAAAAGGGCTCAGCAACCTTCACATGGGTTATCACATAGATTAGCAGACAGAAGTTCAGCTGATGCATTGGCAAGAGGGTGTAATAAAAAACCAGTTGTATTGGGTGGATATTTATCAGGAATTTGATTGTAAATTACAGTGCAGGAACCTCTGGAGTTAGGCAGAAAGGGATAGCACAAAACGTCATTTGTGATACATGACATATCCCCCATGTACCATACTATATTATTCCTTAATTCTTCTAATAAAACCTGAGAAGTTACCAATCAAAAAACACATATTCGCCAACTTAAATACCAACATATTATTGCAATGTCAAATAATTCAACAAATAAAATAATGTAGCAAAGATATTTTTTTGATATGTAGCAAAGATATTTTAAAAAATATGTAGCATCTAACATACCTCACAGATTTCATTTCCTCTCTGGAATTCTTCTGTCATAACACGCAATGTACTTGATGAAACATTGTAGCTAGAGTTCATGCAAGGATAAGCAGGAGTGATTATGGGCATTTGATGAAGCCTGTCACGGTAATTCTTTCTTGGATCCCAGACAGGAAGTCCCAAAGTTCCTTCTTCAATCGCACATAGCATGACTGGATTTGGCCATCGCCACTGGGTAAAAACCCGGAAGAAACGAGATACCAACATACTGGGTAGTGCATTTGGATATAACTGGCATATGCGAGCAACAAGCAATGCCCAGTTTATTCCACCAAGAAACCCTGAAACCTAGTCATGAGAGAGGGAGAGAGATGAAATAATGAACATAGACAAGAATAGATGAAACAAAAGAATAGTAAGGTAAAAATCTTAAAGAGCCCCAATTACATTTGAATAAACTCCACGGCGTTTTGCCCAAAACCTCATGCATCTCAAGGTTGTACGGAAATTCTAGATCAGACAGACCAAAAACAAGATCAGAAACTAATCACACAAAGGGAAATTGCAACCTAATATCAACATATCTACGTGAAAGTGATCGACCAAACCTGAATATTTGGAACTAAACGTAAAATCTGGTCAGTTACTCTGCATCCATTAAGACTACGGACTGTCTGCTCATCTGCATTCTGCAGTACCATATCTTGTGAAATATCCAAGTCCTACAAAATAATATTTTTGAAGGTTTAAACAGATTCACAAAATACATTTCAACAGAGATCTGCAAGAAAGATTTTTCGCAGGGGGGAGGTGAAGGAAGATAAATGGTAAATAAGTATATCTTCATAGTCACAATCTTTTTTATTGTTAATGGTTGATTAATAAAAGAATAGCATGTACAAAATCATGCTTATCCTTTTTTGTTAGGCTAGCCACAGTGTAACAACTCCAATTTATATATTTACACAAGTTATTGTGGTATGGCCCACCACTAAAACTGTGTCCTATTAATCCTTTTTATTTTGGCCATTGAATCAGCCAGACCATTTACTGATCTTTGAACCCATGTAACTGTGACATCCACTCTCTTGACAACGCCATTTTCTTCCATTTATTTATTAGATGAAACAAAAAATTGTTGCTCAGTTGTATATTGCAGTTAGCTATAAGAAATGTATACCAACAGGTATATATAGAATAGAGAAATCCTCTTATAGCCACTTTCATGGACCTCAAATAAGGTACAATAAGTACTACATTGGCATAGTACACAAGAACAAGTATTTACTTCAGGAATAACCCAGAGTGAGAGTTTTGCATAAAGAAGATCTATGGAAACCCCATTGAATTTGAACCTCATCACGGGAACATGAGCATCAGGAACAGGGTGCAACTCTGATACTTCAGGCATCTCTGCCAGCATATTATGAAGTTCAATAAAGAAGTCCTCCTACAGTTAAATGAGCATTTTAGTTACTAGAAAAGAAAGGACAGTAGCATTTAAAAAAAAAATGCACTCTAAAAGTTGTATCATAGTGAAATAAGAGCTTATCGCACTTCTCTTGTTGCATGTCTAGGTCCCACACATAGTGTATCTATATCTGCACCAGGGCCATGGACCTAATAAAGAAAGGAGAAAACAAATTTGAAACCTATGATTAGCAAATGCTAAAATTTAGTAATGCAGGTCAGAATGGAAACATGCAAGACCGCAGAGGGGCTCGTCTGAGATAAGGCATTAAAAGAAGAAAAAATCACAGAAGCAAATGATACTGATATAGACATAACAGAACACTAAGCATGGGTCCACCTCACAGTCACACATACACCAACAACATATAGGTTTAGTCAAATGATCATCCAATGGTTTCACCTAAGAGATCCATCAAAGTAATAACATCAAATGGATGCAACCATTTCTAGCATCTTTTACAATTCCCATGATGTGGAAACTAAGGAGCAACTTGATGATAAGACCCACCTTACAGAATACAAGAGTTTGACAAAAACACAGCCACTCATATAAAAATTATGCTTAAAACAATCAAGCTTGTATGTAACATCATACTTCAACATGTTTTGCAACCTTTATTGGGACCATTCTACATCCATACTAGCAGTGGACCTTTCATGCATCTTTTGGAATTTTCTTTTTTTAAGGCAAATAAAAAAGAAACCTCCTTTTCAACCCAACATGCATCTTTTGGAATATTTTTGCCAAGTCTGCTAATGTAAAATCAGTTATATTACATTTGGCAAAAAACAAACATGGCTTCAGTACATTTCATCTCATCAGGACTAGTACTTGTATTCATTTACTAAATCTCACTAAATAGAGAATCATGTCCTGATATGCAGTGTATCTCTTACTTTAAATGCTTTAAAATAAGAACTAGCACATGTAATCACTTTACCAAAAAGAAACTTCATGATTCAAGGATTAGGAAACAGTAAACTGTTCAGAGACAAGAAGATAAGAGGTGACCATAGTCACCATTTATGCTTTATCATCTAACCAATAATGAAGACGGTAGGAAGAGGAGAACTGTCGGTATTGATGTAAACCAAAAATAGGCCATTACTCTTTTTTAAGAGAAGAGTTAATGTGTATTCAGAAAGAGGGAAGGATATATCATATACACGAGGATGTACAAAAAGGGACCTAGAGAGACAAAAAGACAAGGCCTGAGTAATTAACAGAACATTATATCTGCAATGTACATAAAATCCCTTCAAAACCTAACTTTGCTACCCCATCTGCTATATGATTAAGCTCCCAGGGGATCCACCTGAAGCTGCAATTCAGCAAAGAATAGAGTTCTTCAATTTCAAAGAGGAGGTCCGCAAACTTCCAAGGACCTTCACCCTGTCCGTTGGCCCTATTTATGGTGTTTCTGGAATCACATTCAGTTGCCAAGGACCTAATGAGGAATCTATAGACCATCCTTAGACTCTCAAGAAGGGAGCAGGCCATTACTCAATGTTGGTCCCAGTTATCTGGGTTCTTGGAAGGGTAAACTGAATATGGACCTAACTTTTGGCATCTTTGGCACAAAGTGGCCACTCTTAAACTCAAAACCATGTGGTTATAACTGCCACAAGCACTTTTTTCACAAGAAACAGTAATGAGATGATTTTATTGCATTGCAGCAACAGCAGTAATAATGCACAAACAATAACAACATTTTCCTTGTACATCCCAGTTATAGCCAGGTCATCAGCTGAGTGTTGGCTGTTCTTGGAGGCTGGAGACTGGAGCGCACCTAAATGAAGCAGCCACAAGCCCTTTCTATCAAATCTAGCTAAACGCATGGAATTAATATTCAAGAAACAAACCACAACAGTTGGCCAACAACTACTGTACCAATTCTGCAATGCAAGAATGTGCAGCTTATTGTTGTCCATAACATGTCATTCATACTTGTATCCATTAAGGGTAACATTATTTTTGAATAGGTAGTATAATGTTACTGAGAATTCCAAAATATATTACAATGCCACTCCTTCGAGGAGAAGATGGATACCGTGTATACTCTCCCTTTATATACTGGATTCTATTATGTACTGAATGTTCTCAGAAAAGAATCTATGGTCCCAGCCCAATGATTTGATTTCATTAATCACAAAAATGTTGATACTTGAGGCCAAAGAAATTCCTCCTTAAACTGGCCCATCTTCCTATCAACATCCTCTTCACCCTGCCCACCATGCCCTTACTGAGGTTGTTTTCCCATTGAAAATTCTGTTACTTTTCTCCATTGACAGGTTCCAGAAAAGTTAACAATAAGGGAGGAAAGTTGACATCTTATGCCTCAGTGTCACAAAACTCTCAAACAAGTTGAGGAACAAAAGAATGCTACTCGTCAATAATAAATAATTCTTATATTCAAAAACTGAAGTTCTGGAAAGCCTGTCAATTCCTACAAAGCAAATGAGCCTTTTTTTTTTACAGACAATTTGTGTCTTTAAGTACAGGCACAGGAAAGCACAAGAAAAAACAATTTCCAAGGAATTCTGTATGACAAATATACAAATATATATATATATATACACACATAAACAGAAGAGAGACAATATCCGTACCCCCAGCCTATAAGAACCAAAGGTGAATATCTTGGCATTTGCTTCTAGGACCAGCTGCTCATTGAATCCCTTAGCCCGGCTAACCATTTTTATCCATTTCTTCACAATCTGTTCAATTTTCAGACAATTCAGAGAATACACAATAGAAAAAAACAGAGGACAAACAACCATTAAAAGAAATACAGCAAATCAACCTGGTCTAATCTCCCAAGCACTTCTTCCCGAGCAACAGCTTCCTCCTGACTTTCGTACAAACCCGCATCCACAAGGAACTGATAATACAAAATCCCAGCTAAGATTTACTATGAAGTAGCACTTACAAATATTCAGATTTGAGAAGAGTGGAAAGCCAGAGTGACAGGGTATCACATTTACCAACCTTTTCAAGTTCACGTGTCTTGACCACATCGAACTCAGTCGGGCCACTCAAGGATATCGGCTCCGTTACACCAAGGTGCCCGTTATTCCGGACATTCAATCCAGGACTCCCCATTGATCTTTTTTCTTCTTTTTCTTTTTCTTTTTCTTTTCCTTTCTTCTTTAGTTATTTTCTTTACTAGGTTTCGTTTTATCAATATGTTCTTATTAGCCTTCAGTTACAGAGGATGCCTTTTCAGTTCAAATATCAAAAGGGAGGTATTTCCACAGAGAAGATTATTAAGAAGGTTAAACAAAGAATAAAATCACGAACAAAATCCAAAAAATAATAGGTATGTACAGGATTCTTGAGTTCGGATTGCTCCGATTGTCCGAATAATTCATTCCATTGGCTCCCGCTACAACAAATTCATAAACAAACAGGTAAAACAAAAAAAAAAAGAAGATGGGATGATTATTTTCACTATATGATGCTCAAAGAGAGGATTACATTGCTTTCTTTCATATCTAAAATAAATAACAAAAAACCCTAACACGAACCCTAGACACAAATCGAAACCTCAAGCACGAATTTCTTGAACAAGTAATCCCCAGATCTCTCAAGCAGCAGAAACGTGAAATCTACCCTCAGTTGATTGCAGAGTTGCTCTTCGAACTGGATTTGTCTTGATGGGTAATCAATCCCGTAACGCAGAAGAAAAGAAAAAAAAAAACCCTAGAAACCAAGAAACGGAAGATTTTAGAACGGAAATGAAAGATGGAGAGACGAGACGGTGGAATTAAGACAAATTGAAGACTTACAGCGATAATTTGGCCAATGAAGATATCTTCCCGAGGATATTTGCTAGTCGATTTCAATGGTTATGGCAAGTGGCAAAGAGTGGGGGAACAGGAGGAGCCCTAAATTGCGAAAAAGGTTTGTATTGAGTTTTTATACTTCGATAAGAGATTGCCCGCATGTGAGGTGTCCTTCTAATTCCACTGACAGTAGAATTAGACGCGCGTATTAGGATACTTCCGCGTGTGCCCTTTTAGAAGGTTCTACGTTCTCCTCCACCGAACGAATCTACGGTTCTACTCTGACTAGCAAGTAAAGATGCAAAATCAATAAATCAAAAATCCGTGCAGTAGATGGGTAGATTTAGGCGGGCCAAACCCAAATCCGGACTGATCCAGTTCATAATTTTTCATGCTTATTTGCTTTTATGCATACACTAACCTAAGCCTAGACTGGGCCCAATCCCAATCTAAGTATTTCAATTTTCAGTTTAGGTTGGGCCTGGGTTGGAAAGATCTGTGTTGGGTTTGGTTTGACCTTAAATTTGGCTTAGTCCATCCTACTTGCACCCTTAGAAAGGATGGGGAGCAATGAAGTTATTCTAAAAAAAATAAGAATAGTTCTAATAGGTGACAAAATAAGAGAAAATAGACTTTCATGGTTCAATCATGTGTAAAGAAGACCACCTATAGTGCCCATAAGAAATAAATGATTAATTACAAGTTGGAGCTAAAAAGACTAGGGCAAATCAAAAAAGACATGGGTCAAAGTAGTAAAAATTATTTAAGTGCTCATAATTTAAGAATGAAAATAGAAGTAAATATATAGAAATAATGGCGAAACAGGATTCATATGGCCAATCCCATATAGTTAGGATAAGGATTAGATGATAATGATGATGATGATAGTGATGCTCTCATGGCTAAGTGCCCATTTAGAGGGCTTTTATGTTGTGGATTTTGACTTTGTAAGGTGAGCCCATCATGACAAGCTAATGAAAAATTTAGAAAATCCAAATTAATTGTACTTCACCCAAAATTTGACTCATCAAAAGCTTCAACCCTCCAAAATGGGCATTCATTAAATAATAAGTCATTCAATTTCAACCACTTCAATTGCTTATCAACCAGTCCCTTATTATTGGAATTTCAATAAATTTGTTGTGAGCTTAACAGTGTTTAGAGAGAAGTGGATTGTCAACATGCCTGATCTAAATTGATTTGTCGCTATTGCAAAAGGTTTGAATTTACATTTTAAGTTTTGATTATTAAGAATAAAGTTAGTTGCATATTTGCATTTTGTGAGTTTATATTAGGGGTAGCCACGAGCCAAGCTCTTCACGAGCTACTCGAGCTTGGCTCGGTTCGATTTTAACCGAGCTTTGAGCTGAGCTCGAACCCAATTTACAGGCTCGTTTATTAATCGAGCCAAGCTTAAGCCTAATAGAGTTCAACTCATGAGGCTCACGAGCCAAGCTCGAATAGCTATATTATAATAATAATAATAATAATAATAATAATAATAATAATAATAAAATATAGAAAATAATATATATAATGAAAATATTATATATAATATTTTTATTTTTATATATAATAATAACTAATTATTATAATTCTTAATTTTTTTAAATATCAAATAAAAAATATTTGTATATATAATTTTTTATTTTTATAGAATATTTTTTTCTCAAATCGAGCTCAAGCTTACAAGTTTTTGACTTGAGCCGAGTTCGAGCTCAAGGTTCTAGCTCGAACTCAAGCCTTGTGCTGAGCTCGAGCCTCGTACTATTCGGCTCGACTTGGCTACTACCTTGGCTAATCGAGCTTGAGCGTCATACTATTCGGCTCAACTCGACTCAAATCCACCCCTAGTTTATATATGCATTTTGAGTTTATATTCCTAAACATACATATGATTTTTCATTCAAATGGTATTACTTTCATTGTTAAAAAATTAGAATATTTGGTCGATAGTTTTGCAAGGGGAGGTGAAAGGTTTCAGAAGAAACGTATAAAATATTGAATTGATTAAATCTAAGAAATACACCATCTTTATAGATGAGAAGTGATAAACTCTAAGATTTTTCTCAAACTCTCTCTCTCTCTCTCTCATCCTTATCTTAATACAACAACCCAAGCTTATCTCAATTCCCTAGCACACCCCCTCAAACACATGGGGATCAAAGATCTTCATGTATTTAGCCAAAAGATAATAACTTCAATCTTTTAGCCTACTACAATGATGATGGTGTACCCAAATCTCCTTGCCTATTATAGTAATGATGTGGCAAATAGATGACAAAATAGCAAATGATGACATCCGATCTTGTTGTGATGCAGATGCAGTAAGTAAATAATCCTACTACTTCTTCAAGAAAGTCTTCATTGGTTGCTTACGAAATATCAATGGGGCAAAGCAAATATAGGCTAAAGCAGACCAAGAGGAGACTTCAATGGATCAAAGAAAATGCCACCTTGGGTTGGCTTCATGAACCTATCAAAAGCATGCCACAATGGGCCAAGCTAAAATGGGCCAACAATGGCCAAGAAAGACCTTAATGTGTCAAAAAAAATGCCTCATGGGCTACACTGAAGAAGGGCCAATATGGGCCAAGAAGAGAAACACATCAATGGGCTAAAACAAATAAAGGTTATGGGCCTCAATAGGCCAAATAGAGAAATAGCATGTGCATTAATTTAAACTAGCTTAAAGCAATCTACCAAGATGAAATGTTTCATCTAGTTTAATCAAATTAAAACTTGGAAAACTATTTGCATTATCAAACACCCAAGAAATTCCCAAAATTTTTCATTAAGCTTTATAGAGTAGTCCATATTTCAAACTATTATAAATGATGGGAGGTTTAACAATTTAATCATAAAAAGCAAGGGTAGGCTAGTGAAATTACCTGGTTAGGAGTCTTCAAAATCTATCATAACTTCAAATAGAAGATGAGTCTCAAAATATCAAAAGAAACAAAGATTGAGCAAAATAAGATAACATCATTGTTTTGTAGAATAATATAGCATCATAATTCTGGCATTTTGGTTATGTGTAACACCGAACAAGAAGCACTAAGACAATAGATTAGATTGAGAACTTGTGTATAGGCTAAGTCATGCTACTGCTACCACTTCTAATTAAATCTTTAATGAAATAGAAATATTAGAGGATTAGCCTATAATGGATTTTTTTTATTAATATGAAAAACAGAGCAACATCTCTGGTTTAACAAAGGTGATGTTATGAGTATTGAGTATTAACTTTAGATGTTCCTTATGTTATTACACAACTTCAAGAAGTTGGTACCAATAGAAATGGCATCGCCAAGCAAAAACTTCAATGTGTTACAAATTGTAGAGGATAATAAACACTACAAATAGCAATTCTAGTGGGTGATGGCACTAGTTACTTAGGCTAAGAAAATGATCTTCATCAACACAGTATGGTACTACATATTTCAAAGCAGTTATTTACATAAAATAAGACTAAGTTGTAGAAAAAGGRCCTACATAAAATAAGAAAATGATCTTCATCAACATAGTATGGACTACATATTTCAAATAGTACCTACATAAAATAAGACTAAGGTCTCTTATTTGATGAAAGAAAAGTAAAAGATATAGTCATGTAGGCACTATTTGAAATATGTTCTAATTAAGTTGTAGAAAAAGGGCCCGACAATTAAGAGAGGATGGGCATCAGTGATGATGATAACAATGATGTCGGTTTATTCATAACAAACTCTATTTACTGATCAATTGTTTATCTTAAAAGTTTAAAACTAAGATAAGATTCTTGCTATAATACTAAGATAAAATAGATGGACAAGATTAACTTTTGAATTAAATGTGTTTGATGATAGATGAGAGAAAGAGAAGAATGTTGGTTCCGAGGTGATAAAGAAATGCCTATTGCAGTATTATGTTGGAGAACTAAAGATAACAAAATCTAAACAAATGAACTATAACATATAATAGGGGTATGAAGAAAATAAAATAAGAGAGTAGACCCAATGGGTGGCTATGATGTCAACCACCACTAGAAACATGATACATGTTAAAAGGTCCTTAGTTTCAACCTTATCTCTAATCCCATGAAAGGTTTTAAAAGAAGCTTATAAAATATTGCATTGATTAAATTTGRGAAATACATCATATTTATAGATGAGAAAATATAAAACTTTAAGATTCATCTCAAACTCAAATTCTATCTTAAATACTATTTTCTCTTTCTCTTTCTCTTTCTCTCTCATCCTTATCGTAACACAACAACCCAACCTTATCCCGATTTCCTAATAGGAGGGAATATATTAAAAACACCTATAAACAAGTGTATGGGAGACCCACTTGTATGATATGATATGCTCAATATAAATCATAATAGATTAAAATTTTAGACCTTGCATTTCACCAATTTTCTATATATATTAGAAAAGAATAGAAACACAATCATCTCATTAGTGTTTGACGAGGGATCATAAATCATAAAAAAATGAATATGATGTGATATATTGATATTTGAAAAAATTCGCAACTTTTATGAGATGTCATACATTTAAGGGCCAAAAACTTTCTTTTGTGGCAATGGGGTACTTTATACTTTTAGATATGAACATCTAGATTCTTGGTTGAATTAATAAACTTGGATGAAATTGCAATCTATGGGAGTTATTTGTCAATTATAGTTTTGTTATGAGCAATTTTAATTTTGTACTTCACCACAATGACATGCAAGGAGGTTGTCCTCTTTTTTCTTTTAATTGCAATCTTCTTTTTATTTATTTTGAAGGGCTACACAACTGGGGGGAGGGGGGGGGGGTAACCCATCCTCCAACTTAGGTGTAGGTGTGATTCGATCCCAAGTTTTCGCTATGACCAATAAGAGACCTTAGGTTGTCTTCTTAGTTCTTAAAAGTTAAAAGACTTTCATTACACCCTAAATATTTGTTGTTTGTTGGAAATGTCTTCCCATGGTCCAAAGTCCATATGGATTATTTTACAAAAAAAAAACCCACATTAACTAACAAATAGCAAGGGACTCATCATATTTAGTCGTGATTAAATCAGGTCCTCTACTATGAGGTATGGGACAAATTGTATCCAAAAGCCCAACTATTGCCTCAAATTACTTCTAATCATTGTCC